TGCTGTGGGGCTGCACAAGCCTCCACTGAGCTGGAACGCAGAGGACTTGCCTGGAAGAGCCCTGTGGGCTGTGAGGCGCTGGGAGAGGTGCAGATCCCTTGTGGGATGCTTGGAAAGTGAAACTGAACTTTCTTTGGAGGACCACAATGTGGGAGATAGTTCAGACTCTCCTGAGGCAACCCTATTTATTTGGCTATGCCCCTTTACCTCCTGTTAGCTTGCACACCATAGTTTTGGCAGTTAAAAATCTTGGTCTGCATAGACTTTTGAGGTTTATGTTGACAGTTTGGAGATGGGGTAGGCTGAAATAAATACGTTCAGAAAAAAAAATCATGGGTTTTCCATATTAAGAAAAAAAGGAAAAAAAATATATATTTGGCTAATGTGATGGTTCAGGATGCAGGCAGCAGAGAAGGGAGCTTGGTGCTCCATCCCAGAAGATGCTCTCAGCCAAGATCAGGGCAGCCCAGCCAGCAGGGAGGCAGGGAGAGGAGCTGGCACCTTACCCAGGAGGGAAAGTCCACCTGGGGAAGGGGAAACAATGCCCGGGTCAAAATATACCTACTGAAAATAAATATTCCTGCCAGTATGAAGCACTGAAACCCAAGCTTTTCAGGAGCACTGCAGCAAGGAAGTAGAGGTGCTAAAAATGTTGAGGCTAAAAGCGATGGGAATTTAATGCTTCAGAACCAGGGCCTTTGAAAGACAAGTCCTGTTTTGAAAGCCAAGGCTTGTGAAGGCTGGTGTTTTGCTGAAAACCAGCACATATGGACTACACAGGCATTTCAGAAAATGTTGTGCTAACTGCTGTGTGGGTAGGAATCACTACCCCATGATTATGTGGTGTGACCACAGTCTTTTTGAAGCTTTTTGTGGTAAAGGGGGAAAAAGTCCATAGTTTGAGTGGGTACATTTTCTAGTCATCCTAATAAAGAATGATTTTGGTTCACAGAAATAAAAATCCTACAATGGATAGTTCATGTTAAAACAAGCCACAACCTAGATGCAAAAAATAAAAAGATATTAAGAAGGATTGTCTACAAACTGATCGACTCTGTACTAATGCCCCTTATGCACCACCGTAATTCTTACAAATGGCCACAAACCTGAGGTGAAATAAGTGATGCTTAGGTCTTGGATTGACCACTTGTGCAGGGACAAATTTTAACCTCTGACACTCTTCCTCAACATCACTGCTCATGTTATGGTTATAGCAAGAGACATTGCCACTAAACTTCGAGGTGAAAAAAAAATCACCTTTCATTTGCACTGCTTTCTGACTTTCAAATTTGCCTCCATTAATTTTTCTTTTCCCCAGCATAGGAAATTCAGAGAAAGTAAAAAATGTGAAAGATGTGAAAACTGTGCATGCTAGTGCAAGGACATTAATAAAACTGGTTTTAAAACTGCAATTTTGCTGTCTCCAAACTAACATATTTGAAATAAAAAAATAGTTACAAAATATTTATGATGCAATTATAAACTGAAATCCGGCCAACTTTTATTGTTGAGAAAACCGGAAAGAACATAATTTCAAAAAATGCTATTCTTCTTTTCTGGTGGCTGCTATTATTTTACTCTTTTTATTGTTTCTGCCATTATTACGCCCTTTGCTGAGCGCTGAAGGCAGGATCCCAAGTATTTCACAGGCGCTGATTCATTCCATGCTGCCCTGCAAATTGCCCACTCCTGCCTGTAGTTCCCAGGTCCAGTTCCACACAGTTTTCTCAGTGACAATCAAAACTAAAATTTCTTAAGATGGTTTGATATATTCAAGTCCCTCACAGTGACCTGACCGTGTAGCTGCATAGGGTGCCACAAGTGCTGTATCTCCACAGTTCCTTGCACTGTCATTCCCTTAAGTGACTGTCTTAGCAATTAGCTGTATTGAACAATGGCATTGTCTTCCGAAATGGCAAGAGGACACCCTGAGCAACCTAACTCTGAGAGAAAGAGGCAGGAAAGCAACACTGCCTGCTTTATGACTGTTACTACTACCTGTGTGTGTACTACTATCTGGTGAGCAACGCAGTCTTGGGGTGCTATCAGCAGGGTGTCTGCCTCCCTCGGCCTCCACACTGCCTGAAAGGTCACCAGAGCCAGGGGAAAGGCCCCCGTCAGCTGCAGAGGGCTTCAAGTCAGGCTCCTGATAAAAAAGTGAGAGTGAAAAGCAGCCATCCAAGTCAATTTTAGAGAAATGCATTAAAACATGCAAAAACAGCAGGTAGAAATTAAATCAGGCTGATGGAAGTTGCTCTTGAGACCACCCAATCCTTGAAGCTTTGCATTAGTATGAAACCACCTTCCCTTGGGAGAGGAGGAGGCCAAGGGAGGAAAAAGCTGAGAACAAAGAGGGAAGAAGAGAGACAGACTGAGAGACAAAGGCAGGAAGGGAACAGACACTCCAGGAGCAATGAGGGGTCCCTGGAAAACAGCAGGGTGGGAGTGGGAAAGGGCAGCCGTGCAGCAGCAGCACTTTGGACCACAAGGAGGGGATGTGGGAAGTGGGAACAATATCAGAAAAGGAAAATAGGACAATGAAATGCAGCAGGAGAGAAAAGAAAGAGCCTGGGGGTCTAGGGTTGGGCAGAAGTTGATGGAGGAGAAACTGGAGCTGGGCAGCTGATTGGAGATAGTCGACAGGAGTGTGGAATAAGCGAATAGGGCACAAAAAGGGCAGAAGGAAACAAAAAAAAAAGTGATGATAAAGTGCCAGAAGTAACTGGGTCATGGCTAGAAAAAAATAGCGAAAATGCTAAGTACAGAGCAGAAAGGATGGAAGTGGCAAAGGGCAGCAGAAGTAACAAAAGTGAGGCATCAGAAAAGTGAAGCCAAAGGGACAGGAGGAAAGGGGAAGGTCTCAGTGCAGAAAGCAGCTGATGAAAAGGGAGGGAAATGGTCAAGAGGATATCTGTGAAGCCAGAGGATAGGCCAGAGGATTGAAAGCGCAATAAATAAAATGGGGTGAAAAAATGGGATGAAATGATGCAGGAATTGTTTTTGCAGAACACTTGCCTCATTTCTGCACTGTCACTGATACTCTTTTGTAGCCCTGCCTCTTCACAGTTCATCTGCCAGCACCTTGCAGTACATCTGTCCTACTAAAAAGAAGCCAAGGCAATGATGGACCCTGTTCTCTAATCCCAGCTATATGATGTGTCTCACATCTACATGGTCACATCCGAATGGCCGTCTGGGGAGAGCACCTGGCACAAGCCATAACTTGTAACAGGCCTGGGTACCAGCTGGGAAAGCACTTGTTGGCATGGGCCAAAATCACACCAGGGAGCTCTCTAAGCCATGCATGGAGGGTTGCAGGACCTTCTGTCTCGGAATTATCTTTTTCCCTAGTAGAGATGCAGCCTGGGTCACTTGGAACGTGAGTCCTTCACTTGCTTTGAACGTTCCCCTCATGCTCTTCATCTCCCCCAGAATCTCTCCCTAGGAGCTGGGGAGAACAGTGGGATTGAGGACCCTACAGGCAAGCTGGGACCTGCCAAGCTAGATACCTGCTCCATATGCCCTGTCAGGGTCTGCCTGATCTCACTGATGCTGTGTTGCACTGGGAGTGGTGCCAAAATCCAGGTATGAATCTCTCTCTCGGTGGAAAATGAGAACAGGGAAGAAAAAGACAAGAATGTCCAACGTATGAAGAACAGCACCTGATGGAGGAGCGTGGTCTCCATGTGGGGTGAAAGCCGGATTCCTTTTATTTACTATGGACCAAGCTTTCATGGCTAAATGCACATGACCTCTTGCTGCAATGAGAGGAAAATCCACCAGTGGCAGAGCTGGGGCAGATAGGAGAGGTAGGAAGAACTAGAAAATGGGAGATCAGGAAAGGAGAGGAGGGAAGCTTGGCATAGGGCAAAGAAAAGCCACACTGGGAAGCAGAGGAGGGTGGTTTGTGGCTGCCTGCAGCAGCACTGACATGGTTCAGGCAGGAGGATGAGAAGGTGAAGAGAAAGTAAATAGTGATCAGGACAGATAGGGTAACGCAAGTGTGTTACCACGGCTTTGAACCGTGGACAGGTGCTTGGGTGAAACCATTGGAGAGGTGACACTACTCTTATGCTGCAGGATGCACCTCTGAAAAGCCAAATTGAAAGGGGTGGGTGAATATTTGAATACTCGTACTTCTGCTTCACTGCTGTCTTCTTCATGATCAGTGCAAGGCAAATCTGTGCCCTGCTTTGAGGAGTCTTTCTGCCTGCCCCAGGCTGCCCTGATTATCTTGACAGTGCTGCCTGCCCCAGTAGTGCCCCCCAGCACTGCCTTTTCCCAGGCCCCAGGCTGGCACTGTGCTCCTCTCAGACTGGTCCCCTCTTTGGCATCTTTTGCAGACTTTGAGACAAGGAGAATGGTCTCTGGCACTTCCTATGCTTTCTCTTCCTTCTCTGATGGGTGGCAGGGCCTGCCTCAAGGCTGCTCACTAGATGGGCCCTGGCACATCCCAAGGTGAGACACTCTCCACAAAATTCTTTTTCTTGAAAGACCACTGGTTTGTTCCAAGTTCCTGGGCACACAGCCACGGGAATACAGAGAGCCTCAAATAGTCATTAACATCACACGAGTCTGCCCACACCCAAAACTGAAGCACCTGCAAGGCACCTGAACAGATGAAAACATCGGCAGATTGATGAGAAGCGGTACCCGAGGGGTGGCAGCAAGATGTACAGCATCTCTCCCCAGCCTTCGTGTCCACTTCCCGGGTGGCGTCCACAGTAAGGAGAAAGCATAGGGACCCCCAGGCACTCGACCAAGGGGTGTCCCGCCCCGCCGCGGACCGCCCCGCGGGGGCGGGCTGGGTGCCCCCACAGGGCGGTCCGCGGCGGGGCGGTACCCACGGGGCGGGGCGGGCTGCTGCGGGCCGAGCCCGGCCGGGTGCAGTCCCCGCTCCGCGCCACGCCGTCGCGCAGTCCCCGCGCCGCTCCGTGGGCCGCCGGAGCCGCCCGTCGGGCCGCCCTCCCTCTCCCTTCCCACCGCCGCCGCCTCTCGCTATGAATGCACGCCGGGCCCTACTCTCCGCCGCCTTGTTCGCCAGTCTCCTCTGGGATTTACCTTGCTGCCTCCCGGCTTCCCTCCCCGCCGCCTCGGAGCTCGCCGCCTCCTCCAAAGGTGGTCGCAGCCGCAGGGTGCCGCGGTCTCCACGAGAGAACCGCCCGCGGCAAGGGGGACACGCCATGGGCCGGGCGCTCCCACGGGCAGAACCCCACGAGTACATGTTGTCTCTGTTCAGGACTTACTCCATCGCGGAAAAACTGGGCATCAACGCCAGCTTTTTTCAGTCGTCCAAGTCCGCCAACACCATCTCTAGTTTTGTAGACAGGGGACGAGGTAAGTTCTGGCCCCCTCCACGTCCCTCGCCGTCCCGCCGGGGCTGCAGGCGCCCCTTCTTGCGGGGCCTGGTGCTGGGGGAGTCGGGGAGCGCTCTGCAGCGGTCACCGGTGCTGTTCTCCGCCCCGGTATTGCAGAAAAGTGCATATTTTTCGGTGAATTGGGGGACGCGTTGTTTTATTTTAAAGCAAACGGCGCCGTGGCAGCCGTAAGCACTGCTTGTGAGAAACACGCGTGTTCCTCCCCGAATCGTCACGAGGTGGTGGGAAACACGTCCCAGCTTTGCAGGCGCACTTTGGGCGTAAATTCAGTCATGAAAAAAAAGAAAATTAGTATCACTCTTCTGGTTTCTTTCCATCCGCTGGAGAAAGGATCGCTCTTATCGCCGCGGCTGCACGGCAGAAAGAAAGTTCAAACTGACCGAGGGCAAATATCTGCTGCCTGAAGCTGCCCTCGCCTCGGGTCGCGTTATCGGGGTTACCTGGAAGAGCCCCGGCCCCATCCGAGCGCGCTGGGGCTGGGACCGGCCGGCTCCGCTGCGGCCCCGCGGCTTAGTGGGGGGCGGCCGAACTTGACATCTGCTCCGGGGCCGCACCCTTTGAGCCTGGTGTGTACGGGGCTGGTTGTCACCCACCCCCGGTCTGGGACTAGCAGCCGAGGCCGCTCTCCCGGGCCTTCGGCTGCCTCCCCGGAGGAGGGAGGCGGACGTGGCGCCGGGGGCAGCCGGGCCCCACGCCTTGCCCCCGCTCTCCCCGGGCAGCATCGGTGCCGCGGGGCTCCCGGGACCCCTCCATGACCTGCAGCTCTGGCCGGGACGCTCGTACTCGGGGCAGCGGGTGCAGGTTTCTCGCCGATCCAGAGTAAAATTTCCCTTCCATAAAAAACGCCTCCATTTTCCCCCCTTTTTTCTTTTTTTCGTTATTCTGGTTGTGAGCCATTAAGAACAGACTAATTAACAGGTTCTTAATGAAGGTTGTGCTTTCGTTCCTCCCCCTCTCCCAGCTCTGAAGACCCTCCCCTCCGTCCGCGCCCCCCGGGGCCCTCGTGTACCTGCCGGCGGCTGGCAGCGCCGTCCCGCCGCTGCCGGGGCAGCTCGCCCCCCTTCCCCCGCGTCCCAGCCGTTTTAGGGCAAAACGCAGTGCCAGGAAAACTGAGCAGCTCCCTGGAGCTACAGGAGCCGATCGCCCCCCAAACCGAACCGAACCCAAACCGATCCCCTTCTCCGCCTCCCCGAGCCGGAAGCCTCTCCCCGCCCACGGCACCCACGGCTCAGCCCCTTGCCCCATCGCTATCCCCGGCTCGGGGGGGTTCTTAGCCGCGGAAGGAGCTCGGCGGGGCACTTCGCCTCCCGTCCCAGTGCCCGTCGAGCCACTCTGGGCTCGGGAGGGTGCGTGGAAGCGCCCACATTGTGTGCTCCTCACGGTCGGAAGAGCGCAGACGTTTCCGAGGGGAGACGAGACACGGGTTTTCCTATCTGCCTTCGCCTTATGGGGGTTGTTTTCTTCGTCGCTGTTGAAAGCGGGGGTGGGGGGGAAGAGAACTCGCCTTCTAGAAATAAGGTTTCGAAAATTCAGCCGTCAGAAAGGAGCTGGCCCGCTCTTCCTGGCGAAGAGGAAACGGGATGCTAAGTCTGCGAGCTGCAGGAAATGGAGCCGCGCTCGAGATCATCTTATTCTTGATAACCAGAAGAAAGACAGTTAATTTAACAAATTTAGCTCATCTCGCTGCATGTGAGATTCTACTCCAGGGGAAGTGATTTGCTAACAGAAGTCCTGGTTTGATTAAGGAAAAGCCTCACTTTTCCCCGTTGATTTTGATTTGATGTGTCACAGGCTGTGACCTTCTGCTGGACCTTCTGAGGGTTGCTTAGCATCAAGCCACTGATTGGAGTATTTCAACTCAGTGATCTAATTGAGTGTTCATGTCATAACATATCAAATATTGTCTAGTCTCCCATAATGAAGCGAACCAGCCAATGGCACATCACCAAAAAACTTCAAGAGAGCTTCCGTTCCTCTGAAGTGGTAGCTATTTTACTGCCCACCTCCCCGTGGGCTCCTAGCCCAGTTAATTGGCGAGCTGGAGTTGTGCTGATGGTGAACAGTCTTTGCTCAGGGAAAACGGGGAAGGGGATCAGAGTTTCTGTCAATTCATTTGCAGACAATATAGCTGCCCAAATTGACCCAATTAGATGAGCTGCTCTTTACCTAAGCGGCAGCTCCCAGGGGAGACGACGGTGGTTGTCCCACCTGCCGCACGCCATCCTTCATGGCAGCATTTAGGGGGGACAGCAGCCCGGAGAGAAGCGTGAGACAACTTTTAGTCCTGCCGAGAATACCCTTCCCTTACGACGTGGGCTGCTGTGCCTGCATGTCCGTGAGAGGGTCCGGAGGGACAGGCAGCTCGGCCGCAGCAGTCCCAAGCCCGCCCGTCCCACCGTACTCCGAGGCTTCGGTGTGGACACTGACAAATGCTTCCCTTCGCCTCTTGTTTCTTCCCTTCCCGCTTGAAGCTAATAAGATCGTTTTCAGGGTAGCTCGAGAAGGAGTGAAGCCACACTACTGTATAATATATATATAATTTTTTCCCCATCGGTAAAAAAAGAGCGCAGAAAGGGGGTAAAGGGTTTGCTATTCTCCCCTCTCCACCCCCTCCCGCCCCCCACTCGCTCCCCCTTGTTACGGTCGCAAGATCAGACAGGACCTAGCTGAATGTAGGAAAATTACTGTTGGCACATGAAGTAACTCATTAAAACGCAGATGGTGCTCTCACTGGCCTCAGGACCCCCAGCATTGGAGCTCCACAGTAAGGCAGGACAATTAGGAGCTGCGAGGACTCCACCAGGCAGGGGAAAAAAAAAAAGGATAGAGCGGGAGGGAGCTGGAGAAGGGAGCTATAAACAAGCAATTCCATGGCTAGCAAGAAACGCGGCACGACTCGGAACAAACCGAAAACAAAAAGGAAATAGCCAGGGTGCGAGGGAGCGCGATTTTCGAAGGGATCTCCCGTGGGAAGGGAGTGCCACAAGGGCCGGCTGCCGCGGGTGCCCCTCGCCTCTCCCTTTTGTGTCTGCAGAGCTGCCCGCAGACACGGGACCGCGGCCGCATGCGAAATGTTCCGCTCCGCGCCTAAGGGACGGGGAAGTCGAAATAGGTCGAGATCGTCTCCTTTTTCCCTCCCCGTTTTCTTTGTGCAGTTTCTCGTTCCAGTTAGGAGGGCAGCTGATTTGGATGGGCAGGGGTCCGACCATCGTTATTTTGCTCTTGCCAGGAAGGTCGGGAGGGGGGTGAATAGAGGGGCAGGACAAAAGGGGGATCCTGTGTGCAGAGAAACTGGAAATGGCCCGGCTGTGCATGTGGCAGAAGAAAAGAGTGTAAATCCCACTTGAAGTTCATCTAGTGCAACGTAGTTATGCAAAACAGCGGGTTTCTGGGTGGACCGAAAGCTGCAATGTAGTGTAATCTCTGCAGCGCCTTTGCCCAGGCAATGTTGTCGTTGGCAGAAGGAAAATGAAAAATAAGCAGGGAAGTATTTTAATGGGGAAGGAGGGAATTCACAACTGTTAATTATTTGGTGACCTTGTATTCGATTTGTTTGAGACCCTTATAAAAACACTAATGCAGACCAGACGGCCGGAGCGCGGCAGCCGCTCCTCATCCCCGCCGTGCGCCCGGGGAAGGAGCGGGCGGCCCGGCCCGGCCCCGGCGTCCGCGGAGCCGGCGGGACGGGGGCAGCGAGAAGCGGGCGGCGGCTCCGCGCTGCCTGCGCCGGAGGGGTGTTCCGGGGGTCGATGTTTTACCCCCCGCGCTGCAGCAGCTGCAGGAGGGAGCGGAGCGCAGCGTCCCCTCAGCAGCCGCGGCGGCACCTCTCGCCTCTTCCCGGTGAAAATCGGGGCTGTCGGCGGGGGGGTATTTTTTTATTTACCTTTCGTTTGTTTGTTGTCCTTGCGAAGGCGCGGGAGCTCGCACAGGCAGCGCCGCGGGACGGGGAGGGCGATGCAGGGGAGCAGCGCACACCGGCCCCGGGAGCCCCGCGGCTCAAGTAGGTCGGCGGGGCGGTGCGCGGCCGCGGAGCCGCTCTGCTAACGGGAACGAGTAGTTAACGCCTGTCAAGCCACCATTCCGGTGGCTCATTTCGGACCCGCTCCTGATTTTTTTTTTCATATTTTTAAAATCCAGAAACCCTCCTGCGGAACTTGCTGAGGCGTTGCGTTTGATTTTTTAGGGGCGGGGAGGGGACTGGGGGGGACGGAAGGTCGAGCTCTCCGCCTCGGAGCTGTGTAGTTTCCGCCGCCCGCGGGGAGGTGCCGTGCCGCAGCTGGGCTGGCCCCAGCCGGGAGGCGAGCGGCCCGCGGGGAGGAAAACCGACGCAGGCCGGGGTCACCCGGCGCCGGGCACGGCAGCGGGGCGCCTCGCTCCCCTCATTTACATCCTCGCTTCGTAGTAGAAAAAAACCCAAAACCAGCCGATCGTAGAAATCCTTCTTTCCTTGCGATTTTGGGGTAGGCTGGAACTGAGTTTGCGAGTCCTCCCGTGCCTGAAGTCTGATTTATGAGCGAAAGGGGACGTTTCAGTTCTTGCTAGTTGTAGCCAGATCTGTATGCTCTGTTGCTGTATCCCGGCGCTTCCACATATATCGCTCAGAAATATACTCCAAAGCGTTCCCTTGCTCCATTTCTTAGCTCCGAGCGCTGGGAATATTTAGTCCGATTTTCTCAACCTGAATAATTCTGGAGGAATTATTTCTCCTCCATCGAAATATCTAGGGTAGCGTAACCACCGCAAACGGGGAAAGGGAAGGGTCCTCGCTTAAGGTCTGTTACAGCAGGTAGAAACCCTCAAGGAAGCTCCTCGCCGCCTCAGCGCATCTCGTGGGACGATGCCAACAGCCGAGGGGGCCGGAGCCCAGCGGGATGTCCCGCGGGTGTTGTGACGGTCCCTCTGCGCCTGAGGGTCGAGTGTCTCTCGTGGGAAGCGGAGAGGCGGCGACGAGCGGGGCAGTGGGGCGAGGGCAGGCAGCCTTCCCGGAGCAGGTACAGTACAGCGGTGATCAAAGGTACATCACAGCCAGGTGCCTCCGCGCTCCGAGGAGAATAAACGAAAACAAAACAAAACAAAACAAAAGGAAACAGCCCGCCATCGGCGAGCTGGGGTTTTGGCAGGATTGGGAATTCGTCCGAGGAAGGTGTGGTCTTTCTCGGTTACTCGATAGCGAAGCGAACGATACATTTAAATCTAATCACTCGGTGTAATAGAAAACCACGGCGAGACAGGCGCTGGGAGATGCGGAATTGAAACCCGAAGAAATACCACACATGGAGAGTCAGCCCCTTGTTTCCACAGCTTGGGTAATGCTCCGAAAGAAATACCTGTCAGCCTTGCGACTCTGCAGACAACGTGTGGGCAGACCTTCGCAATTAGGGACAATTTATGTTTTAATTTCCAGATTATTGTTGTGTGAATGCCTGCAAAGTGTCTTTAAACTGCAAATGTGCTTTTGGTTTGCGAGTTTAAATATGGCTTGAAAGAGAATTTGGGAATGGGAAAATTCTTCTTGAATGTGGTTTGGGTATAATTTGCAGTGATGTAAAGTTAAGATCTGAGCCCTGATGAATTGGCTGGGAGCCCAGTACCTGATCTGCCATGAAAAGGCAAACTTTGTGTAGCCTTCGCTAACCCCCGTCTCGCCTCAAAGCCCAGGCTGCGGCGAGAAAGCGACCCAGGAAGCGAGAGCGGTTTCACACAGGGAGCTGAGGGAAACGTCCCAGCCCAGTCGTTCATTTAACCTCGGAGATGCTAAAACCGCAGCCACCGCACCGCGGAGAAAAGCGTGGGAGAAGGTGGGCGAGAACCCGGCGCAGCACCCCCGGCCCGGCCCGACCCGGCCCGGCCCGCCCGCGGGAGCACCGGGCACGCCGCTGCCTGGGCGCTTCGGGAAAGGCAGAACGGTGTAGGGCTGCTCTCTTCCCCCCGCCACTGATACATCCTTAAATTCCAGATAGACCTAGTTCCTCCTTCTGACCCTCCTTCCCGCTCCCAATATTTTATTTTCGCCCGAAAAAAATGAACTATGGAGAGTCGAAATAGAACTATTAAGTACTGCGGAACTAACATTCATCTACATTAACGCTACAAATATAAACACACCTCTCTGGTGCATTTTCTGCAGTGTGGCTTTCCCCAGCCCGGATGGACGTGAGATGACTTTGCTGCTCTCACCAAGTATTTCAGTAACGGGAATAGCGCTAATGACAGCCTCAACTGGCCTAAGAAAAAAGCAAATCTCGAGCTGGCTGTTAGAAACCCCGGATTACACCTCAGCCGCTCCTTGGGTTTAAAGGAATATTGAAGAGAACCAGCCCCGATCCGTGTGCACTCCTCACAGGGAGAAAGAAGGACAGCCAGCGTGTCCCCACGCCGTCTCTGCTGCCACTCTTTGTGTGCTGAGAAAACGGCATCTTCGCTGGAACAAAGGGTCCCCAACCTAGACCCGTCTCCCGGTTTTGTGGAGGCTCCGGAGGTCGCGCTTTCCCTCCCCGCCCTCCGCTGCTTTTCCCACCCCCTTGACTGCCCTGGGAGCGAGCCAGTACTGTTTTAGGATTATGTATTCATCTGGAATTATTAGGTTACAAGAGTGAATAAATAGCGTTTATCTGATCGGATTCAAAGCTGCTCATTTGAAATAACCGGCAGCTCTGCCCCTTTCGGAGAGAGGTGCGGGAGCCGGCAGCTGCATAAGCCAGTGGGACTTTTCCAGCACGGAGTCGTTGCTGCCGAAACCCGCTTGACCGGGGGCACATTTCTCTGCTATTCGGCCGTGTCCCCAGCGTGCCATGCCACCGAGCGAGCCGGAGCAGCCTTGCAATGCCTTCAACCCCTGCCAAACTGGAGTTTCAAAGGATGCTGCTGGGGAGTGCACACCCTCAGCAAGCGTTTTGACACTGGCAGTGCCGGAGCTGGCTTCCCCCCAGCACCGCCGTATGACAGGGGTCTGCAGACCCTTTAAAACCCGTTTTCAGCATCGAGGATACGCGGGGAATTCAGCCTCTCTCCGCTTCTCTCCCGTCTAACACGCATGCTTGGATGTCACCCCCAATGGGACGATTCCCCGCGCCGTGGCCGGTCACCTGCGTGAGGTTTCCTTGGGAATGGGACAGGGTGGGCGCTGTCACCTCCGTGTCCCCCATCCCCCGGGAAAGGGCCGCCCTTTCCTTGAAAGCTCGGTCTGCCGGGCAGTGCTGCTCTGCTCCTTCACCCCGGCAGGGATGCGGGGGACCCCAGGACGGTGACACTGGCCAAGAGTAGGACACGGGAGTGTCCGGAGGGACGGCGGGCTGCAGGCAGCACTCTCCTCACCTCCACCCCATCGCAAGGAGTACCAAAGAGAGGGATCATCTCCCTTTGAAACGAAGCGTGACATCCCCCTTTTCATTCCCTAAGCAAAAAGAGCAACTAAAAGCAGATCTATCCCCAGGCTCGGCTCTGCCCACACCGCAAAACCAGGGTTAGGGGCAGGAGAAGGCGCTGATCTGGTTTCCTCAACGGTCGCTGGAACCCATGAAGGAAGGTCTGAGGCAGTTCGGCAGGGCCAGGAGATCCGTCTGTGCCTTGTCGAGTGTCCGGGCATCTGACAGATGCTGGACGCAGAAAAAAACCAAAGACGAGGAGGAGGAGGAGAAGCAGGAAGAGAACCTGCGCTTTCTTACCCGAGGGGTGCACATCCCCTTCTATCTGAAGCCCCCAATCCTGCCAAGGACCCCCTTGAAGGACGGGGCAATGGTCTCAGAGATCCAAGCTGCCGGATCCTCCTCCCGCAACCCAAGTGCACCTCAACCCCCGGCCCCGACGGCCCAAGCCTGTGAAGGGGGGAACTATTCTCCCCTTCCCGCCTCAAATCCACAATGGATCAAATCCTGCTCCGTACTTGCAGCGCTGACGAAACCGTCCAGCGCCTCTAGGCAGCTGCCGATGGATTTCAGTTGTATTTTCAGCAGCTTGATAGAGCAGCTGTTGTCGTCACACGGACTGTGACGACATTTTTTGGGCTCGGTGCGTGTGTTTTGCAGTCTCCTCCAGCCCTCCCCCGAGCAGGATGCGCGGCCGGCCGGGCGGCCTTTCGCCCCCTCGCTGCGTAAGGAGCAGCCCCGCCGCGAGGAAACAGCTAAGCCTGAAGGGGGAGGCGGCGGCAGGGATGCGGAAGGCCTGGGTTCAAATTCCCCGGGATGCCTGAAGGGCCTGACCGATCTCCCCACCGCTCCCGCCGCCGCGCAGGCCCCGTGGAGGCGGGGAGTCTCCGGCCCGCGAACTCCCTCTCCCGCTGACCCCCTGCGCCACGCAGGGCGAGGCGGGGGGCGCGGCCGTGCTCCGGCCGCCTGGCTCTAGGGGGAGGGCAGGTGTGCAGGGCCCGGCGAGTGCCCAGCTTCTGAATGGATCCTGGGATGCCGGGCCGGGCGGGCAGCGGGGTGGGGGCGACGCGCTCGGCAAGCAGGCAGGCTCTGCCAGAGAGTCTCATGGCCTGGCTGCGGGGCAGGTCTTTTTCCCAGCAATTCCCGCTGTCCCTGCTCCACTCCACGTTCCATCTCCCTGTTGACGTCTAGGGGAACGCGCAGCGACGCAGGGCGACTGTCGAGTATGCTAATCCGCACTGATTAACTGCACGTTAATCCGGATTGATTTTTACATCGCTGTGGCGCGTCTGAAGATGTTCGTTTGCATAAATCATCCCCTTGTCCCTCATGCCCCGCAAGAGGTTCCCCCAGACCTGTCAGGTAGAGCCGAGGTTGTGAAGCACACTGATTAGGAATGGCAATGACCTCTGATATCGATAAATAACAGGCGGGTGTATATTTCTCTAGTATCTGTTTTTATGCCTGGAGCGAGCTGAGTTTGGAAAAGCGGCGAGGGGCTGCTGAACAGAGGCTCCAGTGACATTTTTACTATAGAAATCTACACAAGCTTTACTAGCTTCTGGGGAAACACAGGGGCTTTGGGAATTTTTGTATTTGCTGGGTTGTAAACATTTTATTGGAAAGCAGCTCAAGGGAATCTGGTTTGCTTTCTGCGCTGCATTTTGTACACCGATGTGTCAAAAAAGAAGTCCAGGTTTTTCTCTTAGAGGAGAATAGATACGTATATATGTATATGCATGTATCTGCGTAATGCACATGGGCACACAAATGTTGCCAGTCTCACACTGCTGGTGGGACTGATAGGCAGAGGATGTGCGTGGAGTAGGGTGTGCCTCTGGTGCTGGAGAGTGGTTTCCTGTCTGGTGCGGGTCCTTCCATATTCCTTCTCCTTCTCCTCCTCTCCCCGCCCTCCCCTGGTCCCGGTCCGGCTGGGGGCGGGGGTGAGGCGGGCAGCAGCGGCCCCGGCCGGGCACGCCGGCGATGCTGGTCGCCCTTCGCCGCCTCAGAGACCTCTCGGCAGATCCCCCCCGAGCGCAACTGACTGTAATTATTTTTATCTCGCAGACGATCTCTCGCCCGCTCCCTTGAGGCGGCAGCAGTATGTGTTTGATGTGTCGACCCTCTCGGAGACGGAGGAGCTCGTGGGGGCCGAGCTGCGCCTGTTCCGCCGGCCCCCCCGCGGCCGCCCGCCGCCCGCCGCCCCGCTGCATGTGCAGCTCTCCGCCTGCCTCTCGCCGCGGCCCCTGGACTCCCGCGCCCTGGACCCGCGGGCGACCTCGGCCGCCGGCTGGGAGGTGTTCGACGTGCGGCAGGGCCTGCGGGAGCAGCGGCCCTGGAAGCGGCTGTGCCTGGAACTGCGGGCCTCTGCGGACCGCGGGCCGCGGCGCTGGCTGGACCTGCGAGGCCTGGGCTTCGGGCGGCGTCCCCGGCCGCCGCAGGAGCGGGCGCTGCTGGTGGTCTTCACCCGCGCCCGGCGGCGGAGCCTCCTCGGGGAGCTGCGCGCCGAGCTGGGCGCTCCGCCGCCGCCCGCTGCCCGCCGTCCGCCGCCCCGGCGCCAGCGCCGCGCCGCCTTCGCCAGCCGGCACGGCAAGCGGCACGGCAAGAAGTCCCGTCTGCGCTGCAGCAAGAAGCCGCTGCACGTCAACTTCAAGGAGCTGGGCTGGGACGACTGGATCATCGCCCCACTGGAGTACGAGGCCCACCACTGCGAGGGGGTCTGCGACTTCCCGCTGCGCTCCCACCTGGAGCCCACAAACCATGCCATCATCCAGACCCTCATGAACTCCATGGACCCCGGCTCCACGCCGCCCAGCTGCTGTGTCCCCACCAAACTGACTCCCATCAGCATCCTCTACATCGACGCCGGCAACAACGTGGTGTATAAGCAGTACGAGGACATGGTGGTGGAGTCCTGCGGCTGCAGGTAGCAGGCGGGACGCCCCTCGGCGGCAGCCGGGTCTGCGTCTGGCGGAGGAGCGCCGGCAAAGGCGAGCGGGGCCCTCGCCCCGCGCCCGCCCGAGCGCGGCTGGGGCGGAGGGACCGGCCGAGGGCGGGCGGGGCCCGGTGCCGGTGCCCGCGGTGGCGGCGGGGAAGGGTGTGCGGGCCGGGCAGGCGGCGAGGCCCCCGCCCGGTCCCTTCCCCGCTCCCGTCTCCTCCCCCCGGGGTTTATCTGGCGATCTATCCTCCTCCCTCTAAAGGTGAAGGCAATTTACCAAGTACAAAAAGAGTCGGGGGAGGGAGAGGGAGCAGACTGATCCCTCTCTCTGAAGTTGCTCTGAAGAGGGCTGTTTCATTTCTGCCCTCTCTCTTTCACATTCCTGCAAGCTTACCAGCCAGAAATAGCCTACGGCCCCCACCCCCTAAAGGGAAAAAAAAAGAGAAAAGAAAAAAAAAAAGAATTGCTTAAGATTGTAATTACCAGCTAGGTTTCATTTTAAGACAGCAAAGAAAAACTGTGAAAAGCGAAGTGTTACAGAAAGGACAACCGGGGTGGATTGGAAAGAAAACTCCTTCGGATCTCACGAACAGTGCAAGGATGCCATTGCCAGGTCTCTGGGTAGTTCTGACTCGGCAGCTTTTACAACTTGCAGCAGTATTATACGAAAATGTTGTGCTGGAAAAGGCGTTCTGTGTAAGATTTCTGTTTCTTTCCCACCCTTGGTGTCAGCTGTGGCTTCACCTGAGGGAAGTGCACTTCGAAGTATGCCTAGCCCTTTTTTAATGTAACTATTATGTTCATAGTTTCAGGATTTTCCCCACTGATTTCTAGAATTGTTGGCTTATCTGGTTTTGCAGAGCTACAAACTCGTGGAAAAAAAATTAAAAAGAGAATAGAATAATAATATAAAATGCTGATAAAAAGACTCGACCAGGAGCATTAATTTAAAATGCACATTTTGCTTTGGATGCACTGTTGTTCATATAAAAGTTGTAAATATTTGTTTATTTAAACAGACTGAAAAGTGCAAAATGGAGATGAACAACATGCATTTCTTTTTTAATGTACAAAACATGATATGCACTCGAAATGTTATAATTTCTAATATTTTTTAAAGTTTATATTTGAGTTGTACAGAATTAAGCATTAATCAAATATTTCATCCTTACTTAACATTATCATTTCCTTAAGATATTATTACAAGATTTAAATTCTGTGCTAATAATGGAGAAAAGATTTTTTTTTTACTGTCTACCTCACTATAATGCAAGTATTTACAACTCTAAAGTTATCTGAGGTAAATTAATATTCAGAACATTTTTACAATACACCGTTACTGGACGATACTACAACTATTATTGTATTATTAAACTTTTTTTTTTCCAAAAAGTCAGCTTGCTTTTTATATGTTCTATTATTTGATTAAGTAACTCTGAGTTCTCAAGTAAACATTGGCTCTAGTTCTAAAATGCTGCACAGTTGAATTGGAGCAAGTGCCACTTGAAGACGTACCTAAAGCCATTCCTCCTATCTGAAGACTTTTTGTATTCACAAGGTCTTTAGTTTTGTCTTTCGTATATGCCGGTGGCATAAAGCTGCATTATGTTTTTATGCATTTTATGCAATGATTATTGTAAGTGGGAAAATGCATTAAGGGGAAGAATTCAGGCAAACGTTTGTAAATCTCATCTGTACTGGGGACATTAATATACACTGTATGATGATGATGATGATGAGCAAAAGACAATGAATGTTTTATAAATTATATTTATTTTGATGCAATGGGTAATATATTTATTAAATATTTCCTGGCTATCTCTTAGATAATGAAGAACTATTCAATGAGTAGCTGTTTCAGTAAGAGAAGGATTTCCCTCCTCTCTCAGTGATGCGTGCGGAGAAGATGGTGCAAGCAGTGTGGGGGCTGTGAGCCCCACTCTCAGGGAAAAAAACAAACCCCTCATCTTACATGCAGAAGGACTGAAAGAGCTGCTCACCTTGTGGAATGTGTTTGAAAACAAGGTTCCTTTCATAGAAAGTGTAATTTTTTTACCATATCACAAGATCTGATGCCACACGTTTTTCTCCGACCAGCTTTCACTCCCTTGGACTGGTGCTTGAACAAAGGAGTGCAGAGTTGGGCCTGAGTGTGTGAATAGCAGCAGAGACCTGTAGAAGACTCTGGGCTTAGAGTTGGTATAACTGCCAGAGGAATATTGCTTTCTAGTACTTAGTAGTGTTTCAAGTGTTCTTGACTTGTAGTAGATTTGGAAATTGCAGCTTTAAAAACAGCTCTAGTTTTAAAGCCAGGTTCACTGCAAACTTTGGTTGCTGTTCGGACCACACCAGTTCAGTCTTTTGCTGTGGCTCAAGCCCAACAGGCTGCAATGTACTCTCTGAGGAAAGGTAATCAAGATATGTGAGACAATGGCCACTTGAAATGAGCATAATGTAAAAATCTGAAATTTTACAAAATTCTCAGCTAGAGAAGGCTGAATGAGTATCTCTTTATTTTGTTGAGCAAATGAATTATTGCATGTACAGACAATGCTTTGGCTAAAACCATACATTGAGATTTTCAGTGCAGTTTCCTTTCCATGTAAAACCCAATACTGCTTCTGTTGAAAGCCTGCTTATCACACGTTTGGTGGCAAGCAATACTGTCACTGAGTTGTCCTTTCTGCTCCACCTCAGATGTGGCTTTGGGGAGCTTCATCAGACAAAGTTCAGCTGTGGGAGGCCTCAGAAATCTCCCATCAAAGGAAGTTGTCAAAGGGGCAATATTTTGCTGTCATGGATGTACAGTGTAGTGCAGTTTGTACCTTCTACATTAGCTGAATTTTTGGTGACATCTTTAATGGCTAGAAAAGGTTTCAAAGCCCTTTGTCCCAAATGTCTCTGCTTGGTAACCTCAAAGGTAAGTGAAAGAACCTAAAAAAAGGCAAAAATAATTATAAACTGCAGTATCTGCTTTGGAGGCACACTTTTTGGATTTTACGTACTGAAAGAGAGAAAACTCTGGCCTTTTTGAGCGTGTGCTCTGGATGCTATAGGTAATATAACATTGTCTGAGCCCATTTTGGCAAGTCTGCTATTCCTGAAGATGGAATTTCTCCTCACTTCCATTTTTAGATCTGCAGTATTCTTTTGCAGAAATCTGAAAAGGAGCAATATGATGCTGAGGGGGAGAAGTGAAAAGATACAGAAAAGCTGATTGATGGTTTTCCTTCCTTGCACCTCTCTTCCTCTCTCCCACCCTCCCCCCAAGAGATAGCCAGTACATGGAACAAAAAATACCAGTAATTATTTTTTCAGCTTTTACCACAAATGCTGCAAGCCTTTGTTACAGAGAAATCCTAATATGGAAATGCAGTGGATGGATGGCTCAGATCTCTTTGTCCTGCCAAAGTAATACAAAGTTTCTTTTCCATTTCTCAACTCCCCATGCTCAAAATTTCATTTAAAAAGGGGAAATTATTTCTTTTATTATGTTACTGGCCAGAAGAGGGAGCAGAATCTATAAAATAGTGGGAATAGACACCGATGGACAGAAGACAGCTGAAGTTGGTCTGGCTGATGGTGCGATGCATATCAGCAGACTTTACATGATTCATCCGTCACACTGGCTGTGATGCTCAAGCACAAGAAAACCACTGACTCATCTTTGAAGTATAGATATGCATTGGAACAAATTCTGAGTACGTGAATGAAAAAAGATAGTGTGAGACTTAAGTCCTTACTTTGTAAGTACATCTCTGTTGGACCATAGACTCCCTCTTGCATTTATTTGTGGGAGGGGTGTATTTTTAAAAATGTGTAGGTAAAAAGCTGGAAACTCCCCATGAAGAGCTGACCCACTCTTCCTCCTTGTTATCTTCATATAGATGAAAGGTTGTTCTGTTTACTGAAATTATAAAATAAGCATGTTTACTTTTAACGTCTCAATGTTTAACCTCAAATGTTAGTTGAGGGACAGAGTTGATTGTGTTGTATGAAACATTTTCCTTCTTGACCTCTTAGTCTTTGCTTCAGAAGCACATCTGAAGCTTTGAGGAAGTCGAGTGACTGAACTTCACCATTGTCAATAATTCAGAGGCTGGGCAGCAGGACAGCAGATTTCAGTTATATGTAACTTGTTCTCTCAGATAGCAACCGTGTGCTATAAAGGAGTATACTCCCCTGGAGCAGGGTCCTCTTGTCAGCATTCAGCTATATTATGTGATTAGATTTCCAAATATTTGTTCTCGTTTCTTTGCAGTGTCAGACCCATTGTAAACTGGGGATGTTCCAGCTGTTCATAATTGTGAGGGAGAAGAATCAACATCTTGTCCCCACTATGCTCATCATCAGCCTATTCCTTGATGACTGCAGCCTTGAAAAGTACCACTGTCTTAGTTAATATATGTTATTATTTAGTGTGTTATACTGCTGGGAATTAGAAAGAGTTCTCCCAAGGTTTTAACCAGAGCCGATTTTGCACAATGTCAGCCTGATGCAGAGTATAGGACTCTATATGTGCCCATGTGCTAGCATTTTGACAAAACTAGTATTCATTTAAACTATGAGCGCTGTCAACCCTCTCTCTGGAACTGAGAAGTCTGAAATTAGACTGTGGACCTTTATCCCATAAGACTGCTTTCTACTAACAACTTTCTGCACCATTTTTTAGGAAGACCCTTGTGTCTTCCTAAAATGCATCCTATGGAGCATTGTTTAATCAGTGAAAAAGCATTGTTTTCCAGAATGTGAGAATTTTATTACTAGAGAAAAATTAGTGAAAAGGCTCCTAAGACAGAAGGTTTTGACTGGGTGGGCAGGAAAGACCTCAGGTGAGTAAGAAAAGTGGAGGTCTGGTTGACAACTCATTGCCTGAGGATATGAGGTAATGGTAATCAAGGACTTTGTCTAACTAGGTTATCTGCTGTAAGAAAAATAAAAAAAACCCCAAACCCCAACAGCACAGCACAAAAAATTCCTCAAGTTCTTTGAATGTGTTGGGACAGCCTTTTGTTTTAGAGTGAAGGCAGTTACAGGAGACAT